CCAAGTACTAAAGGGAAAAAAAAGAAAGAAATCTTGTAAATATGTGAAAATTCCTTACCATTCCCACAGAAGGTGAGGAGGTCCATACCACACTTTCTTGCTAAGTTTATATCATAATGTTGTTTGAGTGCCTGTTTATTTTGTTTTGGTTTTGCTGGGCATTTTTAAATGTTTGGAGTATTGGGGATTGAACCCAGAGGAGCTTTACCACTGAGCTACATCCCCTTTTTATTTATTTAACTCTCTCTCTCTTTTTTTTTTTTTTTTTGGTACTGGGAATTGAACTTGGGCACTCAATCAGTGAGCCACATCCCCGGCCCAATTTTGTTTATCTTTTTAACTCTTGAGACAGGATCTCACTAAGTTGCTTAGATCCTCACTAAGTTGCTGAGATTGGCTTTGAACTTGCCATCCTCCTGCCTCAGCCTCCCAAACCACCGGAATTATAGGTAGTGTGTGTCCGGCTTTGCCAGGCATTTTAAAGACAGCTTTAGGTGAGAGAGAAAGAGGAAACCAGACTGTAACAAAAACAAAAACAAAAACAAAGCCTGATGAGGAGGGATGTTTTTTATGTAATACTATGAAGACTTCGTGGATTTTGAGCCCAAAGCATCCTTATTACTGATAGCAGGTTGATGCCCTGAGAGTAAATTTTAGGTCAGGAATATTCTGCGCAAAATTGAGGCTGTGCTTGGCCACTTCAAGATAAGACAGACAAATAATGGATTGCAACAGGATAAATTGCCCAGTAAGATGGCCCTGGCCCTGTCTGCCCCTGTCTCCCCCTGGCCTGGCTGTCCTCAGATGACAGGAAACAGACTTACTTTGTTTTTTGTCTTCTAGTCACCTTCCCTTGTGTTTCATTAGCAGAGGGACTTGTATTATAAACACAGTTCTGCCATGAGCTTCCTTGACTGAGTGTGGCATTTAGAGCATTCTCATCCTTTTTTGATGTTTCCCACTATCTTTCAGATCTCTTATGATTCTTTCCAGGACATAATACAGTGCCTAGGCACAAAGTAGATGTGAGATTTTTTTTTTGTTTTTGTTTTTTTGGTACTGGAGATTGAACCCAGGGGTGCTCTATTTTGAGACAGGTTCTGCTAAATTGCCAAGGTTGGCCTCAAACCTGATCATCCTGTTTCCTCCAAGTCACCTGGGATTACAGGCATGCTCCATCAATAAATTTGATACATGGTTCAAAAGTGGAGAGGAATTTTGCAGGGGGTGGGTCAAAGAGTAAAAAATGAGGGGCTGTTCAGTTTCTTTGAAGTCTTGTTTCCAACAAGCAGGGGCCTCAGATGCAAGGCTCAGGTTATTCTCAGAAGTGTCTTGAAGATTGTTCCTAGGCTCTCCATTTGGGTTTGGGCTATCTTTTCTGAAGTTTCTCTGCATTAATGACAATAACTTTTGGATGGCAGTCACATGCTTAGAAACAAATCATTTTGATCTTGCCTTCTAGAGCAGAGATTTTCCCCTTGAGATCTGATCTCTTTTACTCCAGTAAAAAAGGCCAAGGCTATAACACTATTTTGTTTTGGTGACAGGATGCCCTTTCTCACCAACTTCTTAAGGATACCATTTTCAACTACATAACTTAGATTATTTCTACCCTCTCCCACTCAATCTAAGGTTGCTAAGAGGTCTGGTACTTTTTTTTTTTTTTGGTACCCGGGATTGAACCCAGGAGTGCTCTATCACTGAACCACATTCCCCAGTCCTTTTTATTTTTAATTTTGAGACAGGGTCTTGCTAAGCTGTGTAGGGCCATGCTAAGTTGCTGAGGCTGGCTCTGAACTTGTGATCCTCTTGCTTCACCCTCCCAAGCTGCTGGAATTATAGGCATGCACCATTGTGCCTGGCTGGTACATTTTTCTCTGCTGCCTACCACCTCCTAACTCCCAAGTTCTTACCCATATGCCAGTAACTGGGACTAGTTTATTTTATAGAGCAGAAATCATATGATAATTGGGGGGTAGGATCGAATATACATGTCTTGGGGCTGGAGGTGAACTCAGTGGGAGAGCATAAAATCCCAAGGCTCTGCATTCAATTTCTAGAACAATAAGAACAAAACAAGCAACATCCCTTTTTACTTCAAGGATGGTAATGGGAAGTAATACTTATCCATCATGGGTAATAGTGAGTAGTGACTGAGTATAGTCTATTTGTTTTAGTATTTTTTTAATATTTATTTTTTAGGTGTAGATGGACACAACACAATGCCCTTATTTTTATGTGGTGCTGAGGATCGAACCCGGGTCCTGCCCATGCTAGGCGAGCGCTCTACTGCTGAGCCACAATCCCAGCCCTGTTTTAGTATTTTTTGCAGAGGTAAATTATTTATTAAGAACTATCAATGGTGTGTTAAAGGGTCACATGGAGACTGTCCAAGGAAGGCTTTACAATAATAATATAGTAAACAGCCAGGTGTGGTGGTGCACGGTCTATATCCCAGCAGCTGAGGAGGCTGAGGCAGGAGGATCTTGAGTTCAAAGCCAGCCACAGCAAAGCGAGGCACTGAGCAACTCAGTGAGACCCTGTCTGTAAATAAAAATACAAAATAGGGCTAGGGATGTGGTTACCCCCCTAAATAATAATGTAGTGAACAATTGTCTGATTATATTAAAAATATATATTGAATCCAAAGACAGTTAAAATGTTCCCCTTACCTTTTCTTTCATGCTGGGAATTGAACCCAGGGCCTTTCCCAGGCTAAGCATAGAGTCTATCACTGAGCTATACCCCCAACCCTGTATTCACTCTTTTTAAAAATATTTTTTTTTAGTTGTCGGGGGACCTTTATTTATTTACTTATTTATGTATTTATATGTGGTGCTGAGAGTCAAACCCAGTGGCTCACACATGCCAAGCAAGCGCTCTACCACTGAGCCACAACCCCAGCCCCACTATATTCACTATTTAACTACGTATGGTTCCATGTCTCTTATAAGGAGAGTGCATAGGAAGATTCCATATGCCTCTGTTTAGGCTGTCAAGTTATTATTTTTATCTGTTTATTTACTTGCTTTCCCTTGATTAAAAAAATTCCATGGTAGTACAGGAAATATGTGATATTGAATAAAACTGTCACTTCTGAAAATATGCAGTTAATGGCATCATATAAATAAAATTTAATAAATATTGTTAATATTTACTCTTGAAACATATGTTCAATAATTCCAAATTAAAAAAAAATTCTTACAGAACCAGGTACAGTAGCACAAGTGTATAATTCTAGCTACTCAAGAGGCTGAGGCAGGAGGATCACAAGTTTGAGGCCAGTCTGAGCAACTTACTGAAGACCACATCACAAAATAAAAAGGGCTGGGGATGGAACTCAGTACTAGAGCATTTGCCCACCATGCAAAGGGCCCTGCGTTCAATCCTTCCCTCCCTCCCCCCAAAAGCTCTTACAAATATTTACTGCTATTTCTACATCTTTGGTCCCTTTTCTGACATAGATTTTAGAACAAACACCATAATCTGTTCCCTTTTCCTATTACATGTCAGAGTAAAACAGAATAGAAATATCAACTTTTAAAGGCAAACAGGCACTGGAAAGGAAATCAAGTGGAAGAAGCCCCTGAAATCCCAACTCCAAGCGGGCAAGTTGACCACTTTGAATCAAGTGCAGGATTTTCTTTTTTTTTTTTTTAATATTTATTTTTTAGTTTTAGGTAGACACAATATCTTTATTTTACATTTATATGGTGCTAAGGATCAAACCCAGTGCTCCTGCATGCTAGGCGAGTACTCTACCACTGAGCCACAACCTCAGCCCCAAGTGCAGGATTTTCTATTCCATTCATGGGGAAAAGGAGGAAGAGAAAATGGAGAAGACTCAAAAGCTCCGAGTGTCAGTATTGATTCCTTAGGAATCTGGAAACAAGAATCTTTTTGAGGCAGTGCACTATTTTGGTTTTCTCCACCTGCCTGCAATTCTTTAATCTGTGGGGAGATGCTGAGACACTGAAGAAAAAGTGCATAGATCATTCGTGTCATGTAGCCAAAGCAAAAAAGCAGAAGGGGCTGATTTTCTTCCTTTTGATTAATGGGAGGGCTATTCACTTTGGAGTGCCTCCATCTCCCTACTTGTCACACAAGAAATACTCACCTGACTTTAGGGCTGCCAGAGGTGAAAAGAAAACTGAAGTTGAGAGAACTAAGTTGTATGACAACAGGTTCGCAGCACAGCTTATATTGGGGGAGAACAAGTTCTGAGGGCACTAAGGATATTGGCAACAGGAAAACTGAGGGTTAAATTTCACAAGAAAGGAGGGAGGTGGCTTTGTGGGGTCTCAGACTGGGGGAGGGGGCATGTGTTTGACAGGCTTCAATGGGACCACTGTCTCTGCCTTGGGATACAAGAATCATTGCTATTTGTCCTGCATGCCTATTGTGCGTCAGGCTCCTTAGATAGTCATTTCATTTAGTCTTCACCTAAACCCAGTAAGAGGAACACTATCCCAGTTTGCAGATGAGAAAACTAAGGCTCCAGACAGTTAATTTGGTCAAGGCCACCCAGCTGGAGAAATGCCACTCTCCTCATCTGTAAACTGAGGAGTTATTAACAGAACCAGAATCCATCGTCTGCTGGTTTGAATTGCTTGAAATCGAGCGTGAGAATACACGAAGAGAAGAGGCCCTGGACTATTCCGATCTACCGACAAGTGAGCTGGGCTTTTCCAGACTTTTGAGTTCAAGGTTTCTAAAGCGCAGGCGCGGGAGGTTAGCCACAGTCTTCCGGCGCCCCTTGAGTAGTCCATGGTCGCCCTCTGCTGACGTATGTGGTAACTTGCGGAGAGTTAACATTTCCGGGCCTGAGGGTGGGATTTATCTCGCCTATAGAGGGCGCGCTTCGTCGCGCTGAGTAGGCCCACTCTTGGAGTTCCTTCCTTAAGGACTTCCTGTCTGATCTCTATGATCCATCCTGTTGCGACGTGCGAAGTTCCTAAAGTTTTCAATTTACAGTAAACAAAAGAGACCTGCTCCAACCCGGAAGTGAAAACTGGAGCCTGACCTGAGTGGCTTCCAGCGCCGGCCGACCGGAAGAAGGCAGAAAGGAAGCTGCAGCCATGGCTGTGGCTGTGGCCGCGGCGGGAGTTTTTACCGGCTCGGAGCCAGGCCCCGCGGAAGAACTCGCCAAACTTGAGTATCTGTCTTTGGTGTCGAAAGTTTGCACCGAGCTGGATAACCACTTGGGGATCAACGACAAGGACCTAGGTAAGCTTGAGGAGGTCTCAGGGATGAGATTAAGGAAGGAAGAAGCCGGGTGACTGATGGGCCGACTGTGTGTGTTCGTGTCAGTCTGTCACAGATTTGGACCCAGAGAATCTGTGGCGGTGGCTTCTGCTCGAGAGGTCCCCTCTCCCCCGGTCCCGTCATTTTATTAGAAACCATTTTCCAAAGCTGTCAGTGAAGCCTGGGGCTGCCATCTCTGCTTGACACCCCCGTCCCAAGTTACTAAACAACAGCAGCCGCCGCCGCCACAATGATGATGATAATTATGGGTGACATTTACCGAGAGTTCACTGTGTCAGATAGTATGGTCAATTCTTTATTTATATTATTCTATTTGGTCTTCACTCACTTTTTTTTTTTTTTTTTTTTTGGTACCGGCAGTTGAATCCAAGGGGTCTCAACCACTGAGCCACTCCTGAGCCCCCCCTTTTTTTTAATTTTTCATTTTGAGACAGGGTCTCGCCAAATTTCTCAGGGCCTTTCTAAATTGCTGAGGCTGGCTTTGAACTGGGTATACTCCTGCTTCAGCCTCCTAAGCCGCTGTTCTGGCCACTCTTTTAGATAGTATCCTTTGAGCTCTGTGCTTTACCATATCTCAGATAGCCGTCATTTAGGCGTTTGGGGGCAGACTACATCCAAACTAAAAAATTATAAAAGGCCACCGACCTACAGCTAAGGTCATAGGCAGATGGAGGTGAATAGGGATGGGTCGAAATCAAGGGTATAAGTGACGGAATTGCTTTTGATGGTACAAGGATGTTTCAGCTATTGTAACAGGAGAATATGGCCATAGATGTAACTAACTTTAGAGATTGATGGTAGGAAGATGAGTGAGAGAGTGCCATTTGTTTTCAAAATGAAAATGTAGCGAAATTACCAGATGGAGGAATGGTGGGATGGGGCATGTGATAAGAGGGCTGGAGATACAATATTTCAGTGCTAGAGGGTGTGTGAGGCTCTGGGTTTCATCCCCAGCATTACCAAGAAAGCGGGCAGCTGGGTGTCAAGGAGGTTAGATTCCTGACCTTGGATAAGATACTTAGTTTCTCAGAAGCTGTTTTTCTCAACTGTTAAGTGGGATGATAATATTTCTTCACAGGGTTACTATATAGCACCTTGGAAGATGCCCTGAAGCCAGTTCATTTTAGTTCATTTTTTTCTTGGCCTTTCAGTCAAGATGTGCTTATCTTATACAAATAAAGAATCCCTAACCCAAAAACACAAAATCTGACACTTTTTTGAGTGTCAGCATAATGCTGGCAGTCTGAATATATTGCTGCTTGCTTTGGGATCCTTTGAGTATGGAATACTGGGCACCAAGTGACTTAATTGTCCCTCCGCCTTTCTCTAAAGAATGTTGCTGAAATCAGATTGCGTCGGTTCCAATCTTGTCTCCACCAATTATTATTGGGAAAGATGGTGTCTCAAACACTATAAAATAGGACAATAACAGTACCTACTAATGAGAATTGTTGTGAGGGTCTTGGGGATAACCCATATAAAACCCTTAGTTTACTGCTCTGCAGATAATAATGTTCAAAAAGTGTTAACCATTAGCATTGTTGTTATTAACTTAGTGTGTGTGTGGAGGGGGTACTGGGGATAGAATCCAGGGGCTCACATATGCTAGGCAAGTGCTCTATCACTAAGCTGCATCCCCAGTCCTTTTTTTTTTTTTTTTTTTTTTTGAGACAGGGTCCTCACACTGAGTTGTTCAGGCTGGCCTCAGATTTCTCCCTCAGCCTCCCAAGTAGTTGGGATTATAGGCATGTGCCATCCTATGCTCTTAGTTTGTTATTATGCATAAGCATTATGCTTAGTATCATTACAAAAATAAAGGCAAATTCTACCATGGAAATGGTGTGGTAATACCAGTCATCCAGATCTTCCATTTATTTATTTATTTATTTATCTATTTATTTTAGGATTAGCATTCAAGAAAATAATCATTAGTAATTTCTTGTGGAACTCACAGTGTGAGGTTTATTATCTCAGCCTATGTTATAATGTGCTTCTTTTTTGAAAGTCTCTTTATGAATAAATTGCTGTAATATTAGAAGTATTTTTGTTCTTTTTTTTTTTTTTTGGTACTGGAGATTGAACCTAAGGGTGCTTTACATCCCTAGCCCTTTTTACTTTTTCTTTTTAGACAAGGATTCGCTAAGTTGCTGAGGCCCTTGCTAAGTTGAAGAGTGAGGCTGGCCTTGGACTTGTTGTCCTCCTGCCTCAGCCTCCGGAGTCACTGGGATTATAGGCATGTGTCACCATGCATGGCTACTATTAGAAGTTTTAAGAACTAAGCATGTTTGAGGAGACAATTTTGGGAACAATTAAGTCTTTCATCAACTTGGAAATTATACCATCCAATATCTGCCTGACTTTTACATATAGATTGGGTCGGACCTTCTGGAAACCATAGAAAGCATTCTATGTGTGTCTGTGTGTATATGCATGGGCTCATGCTTTTGTACATTCTCACCTTTAGAGTCTATGTGGCAATGTGCATAGCTGATAGTTTTGTTTTGTTTTTGTGGTACTGGGGATTGAACTCAGGAGCACTCTACCACTGAGCTATATCACCAGCCCTTTTTATTTTTTAACTTGAGACAGGATCTCACTAAGTTGTAGAGGCTGTCCTTGAACTTGTGAACCTCCCATCAGCCTCCTAAATTGATGGGATTATAGACATGCGCCACTGCACTATGCCATAGCTGATAGTTTTGTGAGTAGAGGGTATGACAGTCTGGGCAAATAGGTCTTCCTAGTTTAAATGCGCTCAAGGACTTGATTGAGCTGTTTTTAAATAATGTTTTCATTTATAAAAAATTGACTAGAACATATATGGATAATCTCAGCCATCTAAATTTTCTTTCTTTACCTTCACTAGATGATAGTCTTTGGCTTTTATGACTGTTGGATAACCTGATTAGTTTTTTTTTTTCACTGTACTTAAAACTAATTTCTTGCTCAAGTTTCTATTCTTAATTCTTTTTCTCATTTGCAGCTGAATTTGTGATCAGTCTTGCTGAGAAAAATACTACCTTTGATACTTTTAAGACTTCGTTGGTCAAAAATGGTGCAGAATTCACAGTATGTATATTTGAAGACTATTTTTTTGTTTTGATGTCATTATTGAGTTTAAATTTTGGGAGGATTTAATGGTAGGATTTGGATGTAGGAAGGAGGCAGTTTGTATATGCCTATTAAATAAGCCATTTAATGTGCAATGTTTTCATGCCATGAAGCAGTGGTGATGAAGCTGGATTTCCTGTGCCTCCTTTCTAGGAAATTGCATTATGATTTCCATCATTAAATATTTTTGGATGTTTATATTCTTGTTCTGTGAATCAGAAAGTCTGAAACAAGAATCTAGGTTTTATGGGCTGGGGATGTGGCTCAAGCGGTAGCGCGCTTGCCTGGCATGCTTGCAGCCCGGGTTCGATCCTCAGCACCACATACAAACAAAGATGTTGTGTCCGCCGATAACTAAAAAATAAATATTAAAATTCTCTCTCTCTCTCTCTCTCCCCCCCCTCTCTCTTTAAAAAAAACAAAACATAAAGAATCTAGGTTTTAGAGGTGATGCTAAAGAATAGGAAATAAAATGGTTGAAGGGAACTAAATAACTTTTCCACTAAGGATTCGTAAAATTAGCATTCTCTAAAGCTGCTATTTCTAGCTTCATGCTGTACCAGGTTGAATTTTGTGTTCATTTGTTCCATTAGCTAAATTCAAGTGCGTAATTATCCCTCACATTCTTTTTTTTGGTACTGGGGATTGAACTTAGGGGCACTCAACCACTGAGCCACATCCCCAGACCGGGTCTCACTGAGTTGCTTAGCACCTTGCTTTTGCTGAGGCTGGCTTTGAACTCACAATCCTTCTGTCTCAGCCTCCTGAGCTGCTGGGATTATAAGTGTGCACCACTGCGCCCAGCTCTTACATTCTTTTTCTTTTCTTTTCCTTTCTTTTTTTCCTTCCCTTCCCTTTCTTCCCCTTCCCCTTCCTGTTTTTTCCTTCCCTTCTTCTTCCCTTGTCTTCCTTCTTTCCTCCCTCCCTCTCATTCTTTCCTGAGGATTGCACCACTGAGCTATATCCACAGTCCTGTTTATTTTGAGACAGGATCTCACTAAGTTGTGGAGGCTGGTCTTGAACTTGTGCTCTTTCTTACTCAACCCCTTGAGTAGCTGGGATTACATGTCTGTGCCATACCTGAACACTTACTTTTTTTTTTTTTAATTTTTTTTTTAGTTATAGATGGAACACAGTATCTTCATTTTTATTTACTTATTCATTTTTATGTGGTGCTGGGGATCGAACCCAGAGCTTCATGTGTGCAAGGCAAGTGCTCTACCACTGAGCTATAGCCCCAGCCCCCTATATTTATTTTTTAGGTGTATATGGACACAATGCAATACCTTTATTTTTATGTAGTTCTGAGAATTGAACCTGGGGCTAGGTGAGCGCTTTACCACTGAGCTACAATCCCAGCTCTTTTTTTTTTTTTTTTTTTTTAGTTGTAGTTGGACATAATACTTTTATTTTATTTATGTATTTTTATGTGGTGCTGAGGATTGAACCCAGGGCCTCGCACATGCTAGGCGAGCACTCTACTGCTGAGCCATAATCCCAGCCCCCTTACTTTTCTTTTCTTTCTTTAATATTTCTTTTCTGTTGTAGATGGACACAATACCTTTATTTATTATTTTTATGTGGTGCTGAAGATCGAACCCAGTGCCTCATACGTGTTAGGCAAGTGCTCTACGACTGAGCCACAACTTCAGCCCCTGATCCCTTACTTTTCTAAGCATGTTTAATCACTGATTCAGGGTTTGACAATTTTTTCTCCTGTATTTTTTTCAAAGGATTCTCTTATTAGTAACCTTCTGCGTCTCATACAAACCATGCGACCTCCAGCAAAGCCTTCTGCTAGCAAAGGTGAGCAAAACTTCCAACTGAACTTAGCCTCCAGAATGGTTTAGATTGTGAGCACCTTCTAAATTGTTTTTATTTTTATCTTTCCCAATAATCAAATGAGTACTGATGTACTTCTCCTCTATATGTCCAGAGTTTGTTGAGGTTTTGAAGTTAATGTGTTTAGAAAACTAAATTGTATATATAATAACTCTATGGTTATGTGTAGCAAAGTTCCATGTTCTTTTTCAGGTTAATTCAAATCTAATATTGAATTTACTTTGTAATCTGTAATATTTAATAACATTAAATATATCTTTTTTTTCTCTTTAATTCTTTCTTGCTCTTCAATGAATTAAGATCCAGTTGTTAAGCCAAAAACCGAAAAAGAAAAGCTGAAGGAACTTTTCCCAGTCCTTTGCCAGCCAGACAACCCTTCCGTTCGGGTACGGACCCATTTTGAAAATGTCTGCTATAAATGTCTTCCATTCCTCTTCTTTGTATCATTAGTAATTTTATAATTTTTTTAGTAATTTTAATAATTGTTTACCTTTGTTGTTCCATGTTTTTCAAAATGAAAATATGCCATCACTCCCTGAGCATGTTCTATGTATTGAATAGTGTTGAAGGGTTCAGAGAATGATATTTAAAAGAAGTGAGCTTGGGAATTTGGGGAAGCAGTGATTGAGATATAAAGTACACATGAAATGATAAGGTTCTGAAATAGGTGACTGATGGGTGAAATTAGACTTTTGCTCCATTACTTGCTAGAGGAGCAATTTTTTTAAGGTAATTTGGTTTTTAAAAATCATTTTAGCTAATTATCTATTGAGTACTTACTGTATGCCAAGTACTGTTCTAAGTACAAGGTAAAAAACAGTGAAGAGAACAGATAAGCATGTCTGCCTTTTTGCAGATTATACCCTAGTGTTGGGTGAAGAGCTAGAAATTAACATATAAGTAATCTAGTGGGGGAAGAGATAGATAATAAACAATAAGCATAATTGTCCCACAAAAAAGATAGATAAATAAGTGTGTAGTATTTGCATAAATTACATCCTTTTGTATACTTTATAGTGTATTTTTTGGTTTTGGTTTTGGTTTTGTTTTGATGCAAGGATTTGAATCCAGGGGTGCTTTTTACCACTGAGCTACATCCCCGGCCCTTTTTATGCTTTTAATTTTGAGACAGGGCCTCTCTAAGTTTCGAGGCTGTTCTCAAACCTACCTCAGCCTCCTGAGTCTGGGATTACAGGTGTGTGCCACTAAGCCTGGCCTTCCCTATACTTTAAATCATTTCTGTATTACCTAATACAACGTAAATGCTATATAAATTGTTACTGCTATTCTGTGTGTGTGCTGGGGATTGAACCCAGGAGTTCTCTACCATATCCCCAACCTCCCCTCCAAGCCCTTTTTTCTTTTGAGACAGAGCTATGGAAAATAATAAATTGGGAGGAAGTTGGGGAGTGCTTTGGGATAGTTGCTTTTTATAAATTTTAATCTGAATTCTAGTTGTAATTAATACTTGCATGCATTCATGAGAGAGGTGATTAATATATAATTGCCTTCGTTAGGATTGTATTAAGGTCAAATGGGATTTAGTACATGTAGACATGATGCTCAAGAACCTTTGCCCATTCCTTCTGGTTGTCTCCAATCACATTAGAAATCTGTGTCCCCTCTGTTTCCTTCACAAAAGTTGTTAGTGATGTGGGGGGTGGTCAGATCAGTAGATATAGCTGAAATACATACTGATTCTTGAGTAGTTTGTTTTCCCTCTCCTCCTAACTTTGCTGCCTCTGTCCCTGCAGACCATGCTGGATGAGGATGACGTGAAGGTTGCTGTGGATGTCTTAAAAGAACTGGAAGCTTTAATGCCCAGTGCAGCAGGCCAGGAGAAGCAAAGAGATACTGAGCACCGGTTTGTCTTTAGTGTCCTTTTCTTTGGAAGTTTTGAATACTGTGATAATTGTATCTTGTGGACCAGTCAAGCAAAATTTAAGGCAAATTTACAGAATCTGAACTGGTCATGTATCCTAGTCTTGGATCTCTTTTCATTGCTCACTGCCAAGTGTATTTATGCATTAAATGCTAAGATGTTCAGAAGATAGAAATTGGGGTTGAAAGACTAAAGGTTTGTGCCATGATCCATTATTGGCCTACAGTGATGTCATAATCATTGAAATGCTTAATTCATTTCAGCACCTAGTAGGTGTTTACCATGTGCATGGCACTGTACTGGGTGCTTAGGGATGTAAAGATGAAATTGGGCTGATTTCTTTTTCAAACAGGTACTTGTTGATTTATTAGGGACAGGACAAAAAAGAAGAAGCGGAGTCGAAGCCGAGACCGTGACCGTGACCGTGATCGTGACAGAGAACGAGAGAGAGAGCGAGACAGAGACCACAAGCGGAGACATCGATCCCGTTCTCGATCACATTCTAGGACCCGGGAGAGGAATAAAGGAAAGTCTAGATATCGGTCCAGGAGTAGAAGTCAGAGTCCCCCCAAAGACAGGAAGGACCGTGACAAGTATGGGGAGAGAAATCTGGACAGATGGCGGGATAAACATGTGGACCGCCCTCCCCCCGAAGAACCTGCCATTGGGGACATATACAATGGCAAAGTTACCAGCATCATGCAATTTGGATGCTTTGTGCAGCTGGAGGGACTAAGGTAATGTTGGTGTTCTTTCAGAATGAGGGCAGAATGTCTTTTATTACTGGCAGTTTTCACATTCTAAAAAGTTATGATCAATGACATATTAATCAAATCAGCTATACCTGGTTCTTAGAAATTAACTTTTCTGTTTGTTTTGTGGTGCTGGGGATTGAAACCAGAACCTCGTGTATGTTAGACAAGTACTCTACCACTGAGCTGTATCCCCAGCCCTTGACTTTTTTTCTTTTTTCTTGTACTAGGGATTTAATCCAGGGGTATTTTACCACTGAGCTATATCCCCAGCCCTTTTTACTTTTTTATTTTGAAACAGGGTCTCACTAAATTGCTTAGGGCCTCTGGCTAGAGTTGTGGCTCAGAGGTAGAATGCTTGCCTACCATCCATGAGGTACTGGGTTCGATCCTCAGCACCACATAAAAATAAAATAAAGATATTGCATCCACCTATAACTAAAACTAAAACTAAAAAAATAAATAATTGCTTAGGGCCTTGCTAAGTTGCTGTGGTTGGCCTCGACCTTGTGATTCTCCTGTCTCAGCCTCCTGAGCTTCTGGGATTACAAGTATGAGCCTCTGTGCCCAGTTAACTTTGACTTTTTAAATGAAATGCTTCAGAGACATTTATTTCTTCCTCTGCCTTCAGTAGATCTGCCCTTTGCTTGTTAGGACAAATGAGAATTTGTCCCTCTTCCCCATTATTCAATATCTTCTTTAGAAAGGTGGTAATACCACCTTCTTGGTACGTATCTCATGAGCTTAAGACCATTTTTTTTTGTTTATCTCCAATAAGGGTTGGAATTGCTTGGGGAAAAGGTGTTTTTTGGCATGCTCCAGATGTGTCTGATTCTCTCTTAGGAAGCGATGGGAAGGCCTGGTGCACATCTCTGAGCTCCGGCGGGAAGGCCGTGTGGCCAATGTGGCTGATGTGGTGAGCAAAGGCCAGAGGGTCAAGGTCAAAGTGCTGTCCTTCACAGGGACCAAGACCAGCCTGAGCATGAAGGTAGGTGAGATGTCCAGCCTATTTCTACATTTGATGACTAAGGGAGTGTGAGACAGCAAGTGAGATAACACCCTTGTTTCTCTGCCCTAGGATGTAGATCAAGAGACTGGAGAAGATCTAAACCCAAATCGACGTCGAAATTTGGTTGGAGAGACCAATGAAGAGACCTCAATGCGGAATCCAGATAGACCCACTCACCTTTCCCTTGTCAGTGCCCCTGAAGTAGAGGATGACTCACTGGAGCGCAAGCGCCTCACCCGCATCTCTGATCCAGAGAAGTGGGAAATCAAACAGGTTGGGGCTATTAACTTTCATGGCTACAGTCATCTATTATGTAGAGTGGTGGTTAGGAGTGGGGACCCTGGAGTATGATGGCCTGGTTAGGAGTGGGGACCCTGGAGTATCACTTACTAGTTTGTGATCCTGAGTCAAGTTCTTGTTCCTTTTTGTGACTCAGTGCCCTCATTTGTAAACAGGTCTAATGATGGTGTTGTGGGAATTAAACAGATGAATAGAGTTGAAACTCTTAGGTTCGTTCCTGGCATATGGTAATTGCTATTTAAGTATTTGTATTGTTTTCATCATTCTTCAGTAAACATTAGAACTATGATGTGTCAGGCTCTGTTTAGTGCTGGGGCTACAAAGACAAAAATTTCATGATTCCTACCCTTGAGCTCAAAGTCCAGTGGAGGAGACAGAGCTAAACAAACACTTGTGAAGGGTTACATGTCACGTAAGAATAAGAATATATAAGAATAAGAAATATAAAGAGTACTATGGAAATACGGGAAGGGACAGGTAATTCTTCCTAGAGATAATACCTTGGAGCTGATGCTTTTCAGCACCTTGTCATAGTGCTCCCCAGGGATGGGATATGTGATGTTATAGGCTCTGACATTGTGGGTCAGAGGAGGAAAAAAACCCCGTGGTTTCCTGCATGAAACCTCTGTAATTAACTGCTGGAAAAGAGTTTTGATTCTGACATATTACAAATGCTGCCTCTGTCCTTTGGCTAGATGATTGCTGCCAATGTTCTTTCCAAAGAAGAGTTTCCAGACTTTGATGAAGAGACTGGCATTCTCCCTAAGGTGGATGATGAAGAAGGTAACTAGCCACTTGGATTGACCAGGATATTGGATTGGGAGGATAATGGCAAATTGAGTCATTAGACTGGGCTGTCTATAGTTTAACCTAGTGGTTGTAAATCATTTGTTCCTTGGGTCTCACCACTCATCTCTTGATATAAGCAAGAAGGTCATTTGCCTGTCAGGTGTTCATGTTATTGGGCTGGGGAATGTAGCTTAGTAGTGGAGCACTTGTCTTGCATGCATGAGGTTCTGGATTCAATCCCCAGCACTGCAAAAAAGAAAAAAAGTGTTTATATATTAAAGTGTTTATATATTATGCCGGTTGCTTGTAATAAGTTCTCATTTTAGAGGGACTGGGGTTGTAGAGCACTTGCCTAGCACATGTGAGGCATTGGGTTCAATCCTCAGCACCGCATAAAAATAAATACATAAAATAAAGGTATTGCTGGGCGTGGTGGTGTACACCTTCAATCCCATGGCTGGGGAGACTGAGACAGGAGGATCGAGAGTTCAAAGCCAGTGTCAGCAATGACGAGGCACTAAACAACTTAGTGATATCCTGTCTCTAAATAAAATACAAAATAGGGGGCTGGGGCTGTAGCTCAGTGGTAAAGTGCTTGCTTTGCATGTGTGAGGCACTGGATTCGATCCTCAGCCCTACCATTTTTATTTATAAAAATAAATAAAGATACCGTGTGTCCATCTACAACTAACCAACTAACTAAATAAATAAGTATGCAAAATATGCTTGGGGTTGTGGCTCAGTGGTTGAGTGCCCCTGAGTTCAATCCCCAGTACCAAAAAAAAGTTTTTTTTTTAAATAAAAAGTAAAAATATTTAAAAATAAAGTTATAAAGTTATATTTTGGGTAATAAATTTGATCTCATAATCTTAGTAATTATTCTGAAATCCCTGGATCTACTTAGATTATTCTGAGTTGCCCTGGTAACAACTATTAATTCAACCTATTAGTACTATTTTTTTTTTATTGTGAAATAAATCCTGTAATGGAGCATATGTAGCTAGTATAACAATAATAATTGAACTCTTGTGTACTCACTGCCCAGTTTAAGAAGTAGAAAACTACCTGCACCTTTGAAGTCCTTATATGCCCTCCTCTGATTAAATCTTACTCTTTCCTCCTAGGGGTAACTGCCATCCTAAATTCTGCATTAGACATTCACTTAATTTTCCTTACTATTTTTTCATCTAAATATCTATCCCTAAATGTTGTATAGTTAGTCTGTTTTTTAACTTAATTCATTTATGGATTTTGTTTTGTTTTTTGCAATGCTGAGGATTAAAACCAAGGCCTTGTGTACTTGTGTATGCTAGGCATGCACTCTACCACTGGAGCTACACCCCTTGGTTTCCTTTTTCTTTTTTTGACTCTCGTATTTTTACTATTTATTCTTGTTCCTATTTATAGTTGTATTTCATATTTTCATTGCTGTAAAGCGTTATATAAATTTACCCATTTTACATTCTTTTTTTAACTGGGGATTGAGCCCAGAGGCACTTTACCACTGAGCTACACCCCCAATCCCTCTTAATACCAGTTAAAATAGCAAAACATATATTTGCACAGGCTTATTTTTTTGTTGATTTTGCTTATTTCATTTTTTTTTGTTTTGTTGTGTTTTTGTGGTAATTGGGATTGAACCCAGAGTACTTTACTGCTGAGCTACATCCCTATCCCTTTTTATTTTTTCTTTTGAGACAGGGTCTTGCTAAATTCCTGAGGCCAGCCTCAAACTTATGATCCCTCTGCCCAAGTCGCTAGAATTACAGGTATGGCCACCATACCTAATGTGGCCTAGCTTCTTTTGAAAGCAACTTTGATCAGTTCTTGGGCTGGAGCACAAATGCCCCAGAAATGGCTGGGGAGTTGTCAAGGGGGAGGAATAGACACCTGGGCTAGTTTCACTTGCATTGCTCTCTTTTTGACCTTGGAAGCTATTTTTGATTATGGTGCTAATAGAAATTAATTGTTTGGGTGAAAATAATTGTTCATTTCTCTTATTTGTTTATGACTAATTCTTTTCTGGGTACTTTTAGATGAGGACCTTGAGATCGAACTGGTTGAGGAAGAGCCTCCATTCCTGAGAGGGCACACCAAGCAAAGCATGGATATGAGCCCCATTAAAATCGTTAAGGTAAGAAGTGCTGGGACTTCAACCTGGAAATGTCCCATAGACTTCTTAAAGGAATAGGTCATATTATCAGAGCTGTGTAAATAGAACTCAGGCCACTTAAGATATTACCTACTGTTAGGCAAAGTCTAGAATATTTTTGTTTTAAATGGAGATTGGCTGGGCTCTGTTGCTTATGCTCTTTTAGTTTTTGTTTGAGCTCATTTTGGGAAGAAGCAGAGATAAATGAGAATATGGATCTACTCTCATTGCCTTTGCCTAGATTCCTTAGGGCTCAAGTCATTATCTTGCAGATTCAAAAGCAATTTTCTTTTCTTTTTTTTGGTACCAGGGACTGAACTCAGGGGCACTCGACCACAGAACCTCATCCCCAGCCCTATTTTGTATTATATTTAGAGACAGGGTCTCACTAAGTTGCTTAGCACCTCGCTTTTGCTGAGGCTGGCTTTGAACTCATGATTCTCCTGCCTCAGCCTCGCCAGCTGCTGGGATTACAGGCATGCACTACCGCGTCTGGCTCAAATGCAGTTTTCAAGGGGTCATTTGGTCAGTTTTGTCTTGTCCCCTTAATAAGTTGTAGCCTGGGTGTTGGAGGGCAGAGCCATGAGAAGAATGCAAACCAGAATCCATAGAACTGTTAAAAACTTTTAGGTGTGGGGAAAAAACACCCATGTAATGCTTATAATCCACTTATGTAACTCGTCTGTATTGTTCCTCCCATGTGATTATCTCATAATTGCTTGACATTAGTGACAGGGAATTGACCATCCCTTAAGGAAGCATATTTCATCTTTGGATGGTTCTGATTGTTCTTATGGTCATACAGGAATTCTTTTCTGTCTCTTTTTTATATCCTTCATACATTTAGAGGTTGCACTGTTCTTAATTCTTTTGGGGTTCTCATCATCAAGCTAAAAATCCCGATTCTTTGAGTGATTTTTTAAAATTTTATCCTCCTGTGCTGCAGTTTATCCATCTGTTTTATGTAGTCTAGAATTTTATTCTAGCTGTGGTCTCATGTTTTAGATTACAGTGTCTTAACATCTGCATTTTATTTCCCAGGCATTTAATGCATGTTGCTTTTTCTTGTGTTGCTTTAGAACCCAGATGGCTCCCTCTCCCAAGCAGCCATGATGCAGAGTGCCTTGGCCAAGGAAAGGCGGGAACTCAAGCAGGCCCAGCGTGAAGCTGAGATGGATTCTATTCCCATGGGACTCAATAAACACTGGGTTGATCCTCTGCCTGATGGTAGGACCCTTGGAGGGGCTATACCTTTTTTAAAAATCTGAGCCTTTATATATACACATAGAAGGCACTGCCAGGACACATTGAAAATTTAGTCTCATTTTTCCCCTTCCATTAGAGAATGTTTGTTTTCTTGGCTTTTTTTTTTTTTTGGTATTGGGGATTGAACCGAGGGGCACTTCACCACTCATCTACATCCCCATCCCTTTTTATATTAAGACGGGGGCTTGCTGAGTTGCTGAGGCCGGCCTTAAACTTGCAATTCTCCTGTCTCAGCCTCCCAAGTTGCTGACTATAGGTATGTGGTGTTTTTTCTTTGAAACAAATATTTAAAATGTTTTAGTAACTCTGGTCAGATAATTAGATTGGCTGGATGTTTATCCTAAATATTTTAAAAGTTTTGTTCTAAAAATATTGCAACTTTTTACTTATTTATTTTGGTATTAGAATTGAACCCAGGGGGTGTTTAACCAATGAGCCATATCCCCAGCCCTTTTTCTTTTTTCTTTTGAGACAGGGCATGACTAAGTTGCTTAGGGCCTTGCCAAGTTGCTGAGGCTGGCCTCAAATTTGAGAGCCTCCTTCCTAAGCCTCCCAAGTTGCTGGGATTATACCATGCCTAACGAAAACCAACTTTCAAATTTCCTTTTTGCAGTGGCATGCCTATGATCCTAGCTTCTTGGAAGGCTGAGGCAGGAGGATAACAAGTTTAGGCCAGCTTGAGTAACTTATCGAGGCCCTATCTCAAATGAAAAATAAAAAAGAACTAGGGGTGCAGCTTAATGGTAGAGTGCCCCTGAGTTTAATCCCCAGTACCACATACTTCTTTGTGCAGTAAATATTAGCTAATTACTGGACATGTCATAACAGATACTTATTAATTTGCATTAGGCAATTGAGGATACAACTGTGAATTACATAGACATGATCCTTGCTCTTAGAGGCATTCAACTTTAGCAGGAGAGATGGACATTAACCAAATAACTAACTAATTAATTATATTCTGGTCAGTGCTCTCTGAAGAAGTATGGGTAGCATAATTGGCTAGTGGGGGTGTCATGTCACTGGGAAGTTGAGATATGAAGGATAAATAGAACCTAGTTTATCAGAGGGTGTTGGGAATGTGTTTGAAGTAGAGGAATAGCTGGCGCTGTGGGGTTAGTAGAGGACCTTATAGGAAGTTTGTGTAGCTGGAGAATAGTGAGTGAGGGGCAGGAGTTGAGGCAGAATTGGCAGGCCAGGGCTTTATGGACGGCATTAGGAATCTGAGTTTAATTCTAAGTGCACTGGGAAGTGTTGAAAAGTGTTCAGCATGAAAATATACTAAATGGGGGAATGGCATAATCAGAGGGTCATTCAGGGTGCCCTAAAGACTGAGTTACTGAGCAAAGTAAAATGTGAGGTGAATAAAAAAGCTTTAAGAGGAAAGAGAATAGTGGCTTGAACACAGAAGTAGCAGATAGGTAGAATGTGCTTGAAAAATGTGATTTGTTGACTGAGGGAAAGGAAAATAGAAGTGGGCAAAGATGACTTTTGGGTTGAGTGATGGTACTTCTGGGAATGGGGGCTCCAGAGGAAAAATAGGTTTATGAAGAAAGATTATGAATTCAGTTCTAGATTTGTAACTAAGGTAAGTAGAGGATATCTTAGGTGAGGTATCAAGTAGGTTGTTAAGTATAATAAGTATAATAGAGAGATCTGGGTGGAGGCAGAGTTTTGGGAATTGGGTTTGGATAACAGTCTGGCTGTAAGTAATAGATATTCAAAATATTATGTTAACATTAGAATGTTGGGAGTATTCATTTATTGTTTTTTTAAAAAAAAAATCCTCTCTCAGAATAAGCCACAGTGCCATGACCCTCCTTTGTCCTTTTTCAATGTTCTTTTATCAGTCTTAGTAGACTGAAGTTTGTGTGGCGTTGAGGGGTGGTGTCCCCGTAAATGGGGATTGAACTCAAGTCCTTTACCACTGAGCTACATCCTCAGCCCTTTTTAATTTTTATTTTATTTTAAGATAATTTGAGATAGGATCATGCTCCTTCCTCAGCCTCCAAAATTGCTAGGCTTACAGGCTTGTGCCACTACACCAGGCTGAAGCATATTCTACAACTAAAAAAAATTTAAAAAAAATAATATATGTATATTTTTTTTTAAATATTTTTTTTAGTTGTAGATGGACACAATATCTTTTTTTTATTTGGTGTTGAAGATCGAACACAGGGCCTCACGTGTGCAAGGCAAGCGCTCTACCATTGAGCTACAACCCCAGCCCTGAAGTACATTGTTATAGCATACTTTTACCATTCAAAGTTGTAATATATTTGCTTATTCTGAAGAGCCACTAAAATTCTGTTGATTCTTTTGTTTATTATTCAAGTCACAAATTCCGTGGTTAACATTAAGCCAGGTGAAAGAAACTAGACAAAACACCACATATCCAATGAAATATCCAGAATAGGTCAACCCAAAGAGATAGAAGGTAGACTAATTGGTTGCCAAGGGAAGGGAAAAGGGGGGAAAGAGATTTCTTTTGGGGGTGATAAAAATGTTCTAAAATTAGATGGTGGTGATGGTTGCACAATTTTGTGAATAAATAGTAAGCCTCAGAGTTGTCACTTGAAAAGAATGATATAAGCCGGTGCAGCGGCGCATGCCTGTAATCCTAGCAGCTGAGGAGGCTGAGGCAGGAGGATCTCGAGTTCAAAGCCAGCCTCAGCAATTTAAAGGCCCTAAGCAACTAAGTGAGACCTTGTCTCTAAATAAAATATAAAAAAGGGACTGGGGATGTGGCTTTGTGATTAAGTGCTCCTGGGTTCCATCCCCGGTACCAAAAAAAAAAAGAATGATATCATATATAAACTATATCTCAATAAAGCACTTACTAAAATATATATATATATTTTTTTTTTTCCAGGATCAAACAATCAAGTCTGACCTCTCTCAACTAACCTTCGTTTTTTTCTATTAGGAGGTATCACAGATTGTAGCACCACTTATTAGGGTCTCTTCCCCTTGCCTATCCCCTGTTTCCCCTTCTCTGTCCTTTTCTTCACATTAGTTTGTTTCTCTGAGTACTGTTGGTCAAGAATCGGGCAGAACACATGTGCTGACCTACCATTTCGTTGATTCCCTTGATTTATCTTGAGGTAACATGAGGACGCTACTCACTTGCCTGTTTTCCTTTACAGCGGAAGGCAGGCAGATTGCTGCCAATATGAGGGGGATTGGGATGATGCCCAATGACATTCCAGAGTGGAAGAAGCATGCCTTTGGGGGCAACAAAGCTTCTTATGGAAAAAAGACCCAGATGTCAATCCTTGAGCAGAGGGAGAGCCTGCCCATCTACAAACTGAAGGAGCAACTGGTTCAGGTGGGAAGTGCTTTTATGATGTATTGGTGATAGGGGAATAGAGGTGTTTGCTAAGAGGGATGGATGGTGTTTTAAAATTTGAAGTAATTAGACAAGTATGTGCATATTTGAAGTGGCTCTTTCAAAAGGGATAAGGAAAAAAAAAACTAAACATTTCCAAATACTTTTTAAAGAAATGTGTATTATTCTATACTTCTTTGTTTTCCTATGAGGAGATAAGTTTTTTAATTGGGCACCCTGGATCAGTTCTGGTGGGTGGAGTATTATGGTGCATGGAACAATAGCCCTGGGCAGTAATTAAAAATAGGTATACTCAGTAAACCATGGCAAAATCTTTCTTTAGATACTTCTTTCCATCTCTGGAGTTCTAATTTTAAGATCATCAAACCTTCCTGGAGGTAACCAAGTGTACTAGCTTTCAGTGAATCCTTTCAATGGTATCTCATGTGTATAAACAAATATAAATATATGTGTATATTTGGAAGTTGGTACTGGGGGTTGATTGAACCCAGGGCCTACACACATGCTAGGCAAGCACGCTTCATCTGAGTTATAGCTCAATCCTTTTTATTTCTTTGAGACAGGATCTTGCTAAGTTGCGCAGCCTGACCTTGAATTTGCAGTGCTCCTGTCTCAGCATCCCACATAACTGGGATTATAGGCATTCACTACCATGCCAGCTCATAGATTGTCCCCTTTTTTTTTTTTTAAATATTTATTTTTTAGTTGTTGTTGGACACAATACCTCTATTTATTTTTATGTGTTGCTGAGGATTGAACCCAGGGTCTCGCACATGCTAGGTGAGCACTCAACCACTGAGCCACAACCCCAGCCCAGATTGTTCCTTTTTTAAAATACATTTTTAGTGCTTTTTTGTGTGGATATGCTTATTTAATTACTACTGTATTTATAGACGTATAGGTTGATCACAATCTTTTGGTTTTACAAATAGTGTGAAAATATAAAACAGATAATTTTGGAGGGTGAGGTATTGGAGATTTGGGAGTGGTGGTGGGAAGAACACTTTTTATTATTATCTTTTAAATTTGCTGTTGAATTCTTTAGATATTGACTTTTTTATATATGTGTATCTCTTTTCCTTGTTTAGTGTTAGAACGTAAGCATTCATTATTTTACTCCAGTGTAATATGTGGCAAATTCTAATGACTTGATTCAAATTCTGCTGCTTTCAGGCTGTACATGACAACCAGATCCTGATTGTTATTGGAGAGACAGGGTCTGGAAAGACAACACAGATCACCCAGTACCTGGCAGAGGCAGGCTACACTTCCAGGGGCAAGATTGGGTGTACCCAGCCCAGAAGAGTGGCAGCCATGTCCGTGGCCAAAAGAGTGTCAGAGGAGTTTGGTTGTTGCTTAGGTCAAGAGGTAGGTGGTTAGTGAAGCTACTCTGGAAATGCTAGAAGAAGAAGAATATAAAGGCCCATACCTTTTATCTATAAAATGAGAATAATACTACCTTTTTTCAGATTTCTCCTGAGGGAAAATTTTCATTGTTATCATTGATCTATTCAGGATCAAGTCCAAAGCAGATTTTACTAGAGGAAATAGATTCTTATCTATTTCTAGTAGTTATGAGCGCTAGTATGACTGGTTTGAAATCTTGTCTGATAATTGCGAAAGGGAGAGGTTTATGCCTTAAATTTTCGACTTCTGTTCTGCTTTAGGTGGGCTACACCATTCGGTTTGAGGACTGCACCAGTCCTGAAACAGTCATCAAATACATGACAGACGGTATGTTGCTCAGAGAGTGCCTGATCGACCCTGACCTAACTCAGTATGCAATCATCATGCTGGACGAGGCACATGAGAGGACAATTCACACCGATGTGCTCTTTGGATTGTTGAAAAAGGTAGTCTTTACTGACCCTTTTACTTAATGAAAACTGATTTCTGAGAACAGGCTGTGAGTACCTATGTCCTTTGGGTAGTCTTTTTGGTAAGCCACATTGCATTTCCCTTTAGACGGTTCAAAAACGGCAGGACATGAAACTGATTGTCACGTCAGCTACCTTGGATGCAGTGAAATTTTCTCAGTACTTCTATGAAGCTCCTATCTTCACCATCCCAGGTCGAACATACCCAGTGGAAATATTGTACACAAAGGAACCTGAGACAGATTATCTGGATGCGAGCCTGATTACTGTCATGCAGATCCACTTAACTGAGCCACCAGGTGAGAAGAAAGAATGTTTTTTTTTTCCTCTAAGATAAAAAATCCTAATGTGGGTATACCTTTTAAATACTGGTCTCTGGAGATTCTGTAAGTCTCAAGATTGCATATTTAAAATGGTGGTGGTAGGTAGGCACAGTGGCAACACACCTCAGCTGCATAGGAGGCTGAGGCAGAAGGATCATAAGTTTGATCACAAGCCTGGTCAACTTGGTGAGGCCTTGTCTCAAAATATAAAGGTCTGGGGGCATGGCTCAGTGCTTGTCTAGCAAGTGTAGGCCTTAGTTCAATTCCTAGTATTGGGGAAAAAAAGAAGAAAGAAAGAAATGATGGTGGTCAAAGTGTAAAAACGTGTTGTGCTGGGTTTAGATGCACCTATTTAAATATGGATAGATGATGATTTCTTGGTTTAGCTAGAGGTCAGAATGTGAATGTGTATTTTCTGTCATTTGAAGGTCTGTTAGCCTTGTTATAACCTTTGTGTAAAATACATACAAGCCAGGCACTGTAATCTGGGACTCCAGATACTCGTGAGGAGGAAGCAGGAGGGTTGTTTGATACTGGAAGTTTAGGGCCTGCCTGGACAATTTAGCGAGACTATCTTTACTTTAAAAACAACAATAACAACAATGCACACAAAGTAAATTAATGCTCTGTTCTCTTCATAGGTGATATCTTGGTTTTCTTGACTGGTCAGGAAGAGATTGATACTGCTTGTGAAATCCTGTATGAAAGAATGAAATCACTAGGACCTGATGTTCCAGAATTAATTATCCTCCCAGTGTACTCTGCTCTTCCCAGTGAGATGCAGACCAGAATCTTTGACCCAGCTCCTCCTGGCAGCAGAAAGGTAACATTGAGCTAAAATAAGATCCTCCTCTGTGCCCTGAAATCATGTGGTCTATGTAGCTAGCTGTGGAGGAGAGTGCGTAAGTGCTTAAAGTGTACATGAGTCTTGTGTGTTCCATTTGTTTGATTGTTTAGATTGAACTTTGGGGTGCTTAATCACTAAGCCACATCCCCAGCCTTTTTTTGTATTTTATTTAGAGACAAGAGTCTTGCTGAGTTGCTTACGGCCTCACTAAATTACTGAGGCTGGCTTTGATTCTCCTGCCTCAGCCTCCTAAGACCCTGGATTATATGCATGCACCACCATACCTGGCTTGTATGATATGTTTTAGAGACTGGTCCAGCCAGTTTATCTAGGAACAGGGGTCTTATTTATGACTTCTACTTTTCTGCCTTCATTTGCTAATTTTTTTCGTTTTAATTAACATGTAATTATTCATATTAATTGTATACAGTGTGATATTTTGATATAAATATGCAAGATATAATGGTCAAATCAGGGTAATTAACATATCCATCATCCCAAACGTATTTGATAAATATTTTTTGGCATCTACCAGGCTGTGAACTAGACATTTGGGCAGCAGTATAAGGAAAGTCCTCTCCATCTGCTGAGGGGCATCCACCAGTAAATAGGCCTTCAGCATATTATTGTGAAAGTGTTCTAGTGCTCAGATACCCAGAATGGTAGCACCCAACCCTGTCTTTTTAGAGAAAGTAAGGATCTAAGCTAATCATGCAGAACTGGTAAAGGGCAGGGGGACCTGCATTCTGGAGAGATAGACCTCATGTGATGGTGTGGAGGCTAGCAGAAGGGGCCAGTTCAAAGCTGTGTAGTTCCAGTAGCAGAAACTAAGTGTATGACTATGCTTGTAAGACAACAGGAAAAGATTAAAAAAAAAAAATAGCAGTTTTAGTGAAATATGATATAATTATATACCTAGTTTTGTGCTGCTATAACAAGATACCTGAGACTAGATAATTTATAAAGAACAGATTATTTCTTATAGTACTGGAGGTTAAGAAGTCCAAGATCAAGGGCCACATCTGGCAATTGCCTTCTTGCTATGTCATCCCATGGTGGAGAGCACAGGGACAAGAAAACAGGAAACACACAGATGAGTAGGGAAGGGGCTGAATTCATCCTTTCATCAGAATCCCGATCCTGAGATGGCTAACTTGCTCCCATGGTAATGGTATTAATCTGTTCTTAAGGGCAGAGCCTTCCAGACAGATCCAGTCACCTTCTAAAAGTCCCACCTCTCAATACTATTACATTGGGGATTAATTTTCCAGCACATGAACTTTGGAGGATACATTCATTCAAATCATAAAACAATTCACTTTTCTCAAGAGAACAGTTCAGTTTCTTTTGGTATATTTATAGGATTGTGTAGCCATCACCACAAAATTTTAGGAATAGTTTCATCATCTCAAAAAAGAAATTGTACAGTTTTGCAGTCATCCTCCCCACCATTCACCCCTGTGCTTAGCTTCTGGGAACCACTAATATATACTTTCCATCTCTGTGGATTTGCCTATTCTATGCGTTTACATTTCATGTACATTTATGTTTGCCTATACATAATACATTTACATTTGCCTATTCTATTACATTTTACGTTTCATATAAATGAAATCATACAATATGTGGTCCTTAGTAATTGGCTTCTTTCACTTAGCATGTTTCCAAGATGCATTCACATTGTAGCATGTCAACACTAAGTTTCTTTTTATTGCTGAATACTGTTCTGTTGTATTGTACTACATTTTGTTTAGTATTCATCAGTTGATAGACATTTGGACTCTTTGTTCTTTGGGGCTTATCATGAATAATGCTGCTATACACACTTGTTTACAAGTTTTATATATGTATGTATGTATGTATGGGGAATTGAACCCAGGACCTTGCGTTTGCCAAGCAAGCACTCTATGTTTGAACTATGTCCCCAGCCCTTTTATTTTTTGATCAGTGTCTTGCTAAGTTGCATAAGCTGGCCTTGAACTGGCCATTCTCAAGCCTCAGCCTCCTGAGTAGCTGAGCTTATAAGCATGTATCATCTGTTTACAAGTTTTTTTTTTGGACATATGTTTTCATTTTTCTTAAATATATACCTAGGAGTGTAAACAGATGACTTTGAATAACACTAAAGAGCTCAAATAAATGAGACCTGGTGGGTACTGGGAAGTGGAGGGGAGAAGGTGAAGGAAAAGTCAGGCATGACTCCCAGGTTTCCTACTTGGACATCTGGATGGAAGATGGTGCTGAGGAGATGAACACAGGAGGGGAAGCAGGTTTGAGGGGGGAAATGGTGAGTTTTTCCTCTATTTTATTCCTGATAGTTGGACTTGTATTTTTTTAATATTATTTTAGTTGTTGATAGATCTTTCTTTTATTTATTTATATGCGGTGCTGAGAATCAAACTCAGTGCCTCACACATGCCAGGCAAGTGTGCTACCACTGAGCCACAGCCTTAGCCCCTGAACTTGTTTTAAAACAGGGCTTCTGTAGCTCTGTGGCAGGTAGAAGGCTTTTACGGCCAGTAAGATGCTGGAATGATGAGAGATATTTGGGTGCCTCCTAGCAATGATTTTTCTAAGCAATTGTATTTTATGAGCTGAACCTCTGGGTGGAAGAACAGTGGCAGAGCCAAGCTGAGAATAATAATCTTCTGGATCACATAGACTGCTGCACACAGACAAACCGTGAAATTCCTTTGTTGCCTCGTGGTTCATTTTATGATCGGGAAAAAATAAACAATCTCTCTCTTGTTCCACATATACATACAGCCCATTTTGTAGTCCAGATGTCTCAGTGGGGGGAAGAAAAATCTCATTTTGCATTGGCACATGTGATGCCAGGAAATTTCTGCTTTCCCAGGGTGCTAGAAAATTAAAATTGTAGTAATCAACATTGGATCTAGATAGTGAGATATGCAGCCATTTGCACTAAATGAAATTGGCTTCCATCAGCCTTAGCTCTTCACTATTCCACTTCTCTCAGGTACCGACCCCTCTCCAACGTAACCTACCAGGTGAAGGAACCTTCTCTCTGCCCATTGGAGGCTGAGCTTGGATTAAATGTCATCTTAACTTGCTTGAAAGGAGATAGCTGCACACTCCCTAGGGAAGATGTCAGAGGTTGGAAGTCTTATCATACCTTAGCTCACTCCAGCTGTGCCTCTCCCTCCTGCAGGTCGTGATTGCCACCAACATTGCAGAGACATCACTAACTATTGATGGCATCTATTATGTTGTGGACCCTGGATTTGTGAAACAGAAAGTTTATAATTCCAAGACGGGGATTGATCAACTTGTGGTGACACCTATTTCTCAGGTATGGTGGCTTAACCAGTGGCTTTCTTAAAAATCCTGGCTAAGGCCTTTCTGAAATGTTTTATGGTTCCATATTTTAAAATTGTTTTCAAAGATGAACTCAGTGGAACAAGAGAAAGATTCATGTTTATCATCTTTAGTGTTTCAACATTAAAATAACCTATGAAACATGAACTTCAAAGAAAGTTTGAATTCTAGTATCCTGTTACCCAATTTAGTTGAACATATTTTTTAAAGGCCTGTACTTAGCTTTACATATGTAAGATAGTAATAACTTGTGAGACACAGTTCTTTAGTAACTGTGGAATCATTTCCTGCCTAAATTACATTCTAAAATGAATTACCTGATCATCTTTTTGAAGGCAGTTTGGTAATAGAATATCCAAAATTTTTAAAGTTCATCTCTTTAACCTAACTGTTCCACTTCTAGAAATATACAGGAAAGTTAAAAATGACCAAATACATATTCAAAGGTAATGGAAAAGGGTGTTTAATTAAAACATTTTTTTTATTAGGGGAAACCTGGAAAAATTTCTAAATGAGCTCCAAAAGGGAAGGATTTAATAATATATGGTATATCCGTGCCACAGAATGTTATGTGACATTAACCATTACTGTGTATCTATATTTAATAACATAAACATCTGAGATAAATTATTTGAAAAAAGCAAGCTATAAAATAGCATGAATGGTATAATCCAATTTTTGTTTAAAAATACATGGTATGCTTTTCTACAGAGTGGATATGAGTGAGGCCTGGCTGAGACTGAGTACATGTCAGCTAAATGTTAGCTAAGTTTTTTTTTTTTTTTTTTTCCTTTGTGGGGGGAGGGTGGTGCTATTGGTTTCTGTGCTGATAAGATGGTATGCATTTTTTTCTTTATATATTGTCTTAATATTTTATAATAGGCATGTGTTACTTTTGTAACCCATAAGGTTATATTCATTTTGAGACTTAAATAACAGTGATAGTTAATGCTTAAAGGGCATTTATCAAGTCTGACACTATTCTAGGTACTTTTTTTCTTTGCTAGTACTAGGGATCAAACCCAGGGCCTTGTACAAGCTAAACATGTATTCTGCCACTGAGCTATATCCCCAATCCCCGTGGGTACTTTTACATTCATTGACTTGGTGCATTCTTATCCCAGTTTTAGATATCAAAATCCTTATTTCATAGATAAGGAGATTGGGCACAGAGGGGGTTAAGGGACTTGCCTAACATCACCTAGTTGGTGGAGCCAGAATTTGAAGCTGAGCAGTCTGGCTTGAGTTTATGTGCTCTGTACAGCTTCTCAGGGCATTGTGTGACCCTCACAATGACCAAAAAAATTGTTGCACATGCTTTCCTGATTTGGAGAGTGACATCTTTATAATGCTGTGGAGTCCCACCACTGTGTGTGATTGCTACTTGGATTTGTGTGTTTTTTGACCTTTCTTAGGCCATTCGTATATTTGGAGCTGGTGTAACAATTTGTAAATCCTGGTACTGTTTGTTTCTTTTCTTTTCTTTCTTTTTTGTACTGGGGATTGAACCCAGGGGTGCTTAAACCACTGAGCCACATCTCCAACCCTTTTTATTTTTTATTTTGAGACAGGGTCTCACTAAATTGCCGAGGAGTTTGCTAAGTTGCTGAGGCTGGCCTTGAACTTGCAATCTTCCTGCCTTAGTCTTCTGAGCCACTGGGATTACGGGCATGTACTACCATGCCTGGAGATCCTGGTACTGTTTGTAACAACAGATGGTTTTGTCAGAAAATGGCCCTCTTAGCCAGGTACTATGGTGCATGCCTATAATCCTACTTGGGAGGCTGAGACAGGAGGATTGCAAGGTTGAGACTAGCCTCAGCAACTTAGTGTCCCCGGATTAAATCCCCAATACCAAAAAGAAAAGAAAATGGCCTTCTTTGTGTTTCTTTTTCTCATGGTTGCCGTTCTAATAGTTAAGTAAGTATGAGGTTTTGTGTTTTTTTTTAACATTTATTTTTTAGTTACAGGTGAACACAATCTCTATTTTATTTTTATGTGGTGCTGAGGATCGAACTCAGTGCCTCATGCATGTGAGGCAAGTGCTCTTCCTCTGAGCCACAATTCCAACCCCTTTGTGTATTTTTTTAGAATTTAATTTTACTGATTATTAACAGAATACATATTCTATATTTGGTAAAGTCTAAAGAAAATAGAACTCATCTTCACACCACCCTCATAGTTAGCCACTATTAATATCTTAGGGTATTTTTTCCCCAGCCATTTCAATACAGTAATTTATATGTACACATAAAGACTTTCTACAAAATTAGTATTGCAGAGTTTTCTAACTTGCTTCTTTCACTTAATGTGAGTTATTGTTTCCTTCTGACATTGAACATTGCAGACCTGATTTTGAATGGCTGCAAGAGTCATTATTGGTATGATTAACATACTTTATTTATTTTCTTATATGTTTGGTCATAACTGAGGAGATGGTATTTTATCATTGTTTTAGCTTCTTCTATTTCTTCCATTTACTCTGCTCATCTTTGCCTCTCTCTTTTTTTTTTTTTTTATTGGTTGTTCAAAACATTACAAAGCTCTTGACATATCATATTTCATACATTAGATTCAAGTGGGTTATGAACTCCCATTTTTACCCCAAATACAGATTGCAGAATCACATCGGTTACACATCCACATTTTTACATAATGCCATATTAGTAACTGTTGTATTCTGCTACCTTTCCTATCCTCTACTATCCCCCCTCCCCTCCCCTCCCATCTTCTCTCTCTACCCCATCTACTGTAATTCATTTCTCCCCCTTGTTTTTTTCCCTTTCCCCACACTTCCTCTTGTATGTAATTTTGTATAACAATGAGGGTCTCCTTCCATTTCCATGCAATTTCCCTTTTCTCTCCCTTTCCCTCCCACCTCATGTCTCTGTTTAATGTTAATCTTTTCCTCCTGCTCTTCCTCCCTGCTCTGTTCTTAGTTGCTCTCATTATATCAAAGAAGACATTTGACATTTGTTTTTTAGGGATTGGCTAGCTTCACTTAGCATAATCTGCTCTAATGCCATCCATTTCCCTGCAAATTCCATGATTTTGTCATTTTTTAGTGCAGACTAATACTCCATTGTATATAAATGCCACATTTTTTTTTTATCCATTCATCTATTGAAGGACATCTGGGTTGGTTCCACAGTCTAGCTATTGTGAATTGTGCTGCTATGAACATCGATGTGGCAGTATCCCTGTAGTATGCTCTTTTAAGGTCTTCAGGGAATAGTACGAGAAGGGCAATAGCTGGGTCAAATGGTGGTTCCATTCCCAGCTTTCCCAGGAATCTCCATACTGCTTTCCAAATTGGCCGCACCAATTTGCAGTCCCACCAGCAATGTACAAGAGTACCCTTTTCCCCACATCCTTGCCAGCACTTGTTGTTGTTTGACTTCATAATGGCTGCCAATCTTACTGGAGTGAGATGGTATCTTAGGGTGGTTTTGATTTGCATTTCTCTGCTAGAGATGGTGAGCATTTTTTCATGTACTTGTGGATTGATTGTATGTCCTCCTCTGAGAAGTGTCTGTTCAGGTCCTTGGCCCCATCTTTGCCTCTCTTGAACAAGCCCCTAAAGTGCTGAGTATAGAGAGGGGCTGGGGGACTGGGATTGTGGCTCAGCGGTAGAGTGCTCGCCTAGCATGGGCAGGACCCGGGTTCGATCCTCAGCACTACATAAAAATAAAGGCATTGTGTAGTGTTCATCTACACCTAAAAAATAAATATTTTAAAAAGGAGAGAGAGGGGAGGGTAAGAGAGCATTGATAGTCTTGGAATGATACTAAAGGAAGTGAAAAATAAATTCATTTCTGATTTTGCCAGTTGCCAAGTGCCTCCCACCATCAGATTTCCGGGGTAAAGTTGGTAAGTAGTGTTTAACAAATATGTTATTTTTATACGTGCCTCCTAGGCTCAGGCAAAACAACGAGCTGGCAGAGCTGGGAGAACTGGCCCAGGGAAGTGTTATAGGCTATATACGGAACGTGCCTACCGAGATGAAATGCTGACCACTAATGTGCCAGAAATCCAGAGAACCAACTTAGCAAGCACAGTACTGTCCCTCAAGGTAAAAAACACTGTCTTATTGGAAAGGGTTGGTGGGATAGTCCTATCCGTAGCCTTCATAAACGAAACTCAGCTTTATGAACCTTGTTAAATACTTGACTGATCTCATGAAACCTGTTCCTTTGAGTGAAATACAAATGGCTGTGTTAACAGTTTCCCCGTGGCAGGTCAGGGGCAAAGTTGGTACGTCTACTGTGAACACACATTTTTTTTCTCATCATAATAACCAGCAGGATATTTGATTGTAATAGGTTTTAGTTAGGAGCATTTTGTAAAATGAAATTAGAAAAATATGATCTGTGCAAACTGTGGACAAACACACTTAACCTCAACCACTTTAGCGTTCCAATCTGATTCTTTTCTTTTTTACAAAGGGCGGGGGGACCCTTATCTGAAAACTTTGCAAGGAACTATCAGTAGAGATTTCAGACTGGCCCTCTGGGGGCTTGGTTTTCATTCTGAATCATCGCTCTTCCTCTCTTGGTCCCCAGGAGGACTTTCATTCTCTTTTGGCAGGAGTAGCTGCAAAAGTAATTTCCCAGCTGATGGCATTTCCCCCGACACCAATGCTACCCTGGAGCCCTGGCACTTTACTAGTGCAGAGTGCTCTCTTGTCATTTATTATTCATTCCCTATAAGAGAGGCTAAAACAGCTTCAGAAAAAAACCTGCTCCAGTCCCTGGAGTGCCAGCAGAGAGCCATCTGTGTCTCAGACTTCTGCTCCAAGCTGTGTGACCTTGGGCAAGTTTATCTGCTCTGCCCTCTGCTCTGTGGTCTTGTCTCAAACAGGGAGCTGTTAATATTATCTGTTGTAAAGATTAGTGGAATATTGCAGGTAAAGACACTTGGCACACAGTGCTTAATAATTGCTAACATAATTTCTCATAGTTATTATTCACACAATCAAGCATTTATTGAACACCTGCTGTGTTTATGGTCATGATCACTTTATGAGAAAGAAATAGAAAGCTTCAGTCCTACCACATCACCTTTTATACACTTTGAATAGTGCATCACTCACTTGCTTTTATTTATCAGATTAGCCAACAAATGTATTGAACAACTTCTGTGCCAGGCACATATGTAGATTGCACTGTGAGGTAGTTTTGTGAATGTGATTCTCACCCATTGTGAACTCTACGAGAGCAGGGAGCATATCTTAGTTCCTACTACCCAACATGGTACAAAGTTCTTTACAGATGTAAAGTAGAAATGATATATGCAGAGACAAGGCAAAGTGATATAACATCTTATTGTTATTATAAAATACATATAACATAAAATATACTAATATAATATTTTGTTTTGTTTTGTTTTGGTGTTGAGTAATGAACCCAGGGCTTTGTACATGCTAAGCACTTACTCTGCCCCTGAGCTACAATGCCAGCCATTGTAACCTTTTTTTTTTAGTCTGGGGGTTGAACCCAGGGCCTCATGCCTACTAGGCAAGCACTCTACCACTGAGCTAAACCCCAAGCCCCATTGTAACCTTTTGAAGTGTATAATTGGCATTAAGTACATTCACAGTGTTGTCACTATGAACATTAGTATACAAATATTTGAGTCACTGCTTTCAGTTTTTTAGGTTTATATCTAGAGATATAATTGGTAGATCATATAGTAGTTTAACTTTTTGTTTGTTTTTGGTACTGGGGATTGAACCCAGGGGTGCTTAACTACTGTGCCACATCCCTGCGCCCCCCCCGCCCCGCTTTTTTTTTTTTATATTTTATTTAGAGACAGGGTCTCTTTAAGTGCCTCACTAATCTGCTGAGGCTGGCTTTGAACTCGTGATCCTCCTGCCTCAGCCTCCTGAGTTGCTGGGATTACAGGTGTACTCCTCTGCACTCGCTTTATGTTTAACTTTTTTTTTTTTAATTTTATTTATTTATTTTTAGTTTTAGGTGGACACAATATCCCCATTTTATTTTTTTATGTGGTGCTGAGGATCGAACCCAGTGCCTCGTGTATGCCAGGCAAGCGCGCTACAATTTGAGCTACATCCCTAACCTTATATTTAACTTTTTAAAGTTTCATCAAACTGTTTTCCATGGCATCTGCACCATATTATGTTCCTATGGCAGTGGTGTAAGTTTTCATATTTCTCCTATCTCTGCCAATGCTTATTTTCTATTTGTGTTTTGTTTTGCTTTTAATTAAAGCCATACTAGTGGGTATGGAGTAGTATCTTATTGTAGTTTTTTGTTTGTTTGTTTGTTTGTTTTTTGCACTGCTGGGGATCAAACCCAGAGCCTCACACAGGCTAGGCAAGTTCTCTTGTCATTGAGCTGCATTTCCCAGCCCCTCGTTATGGTTTGATTTGCATTTCCCTAATTACTAGTGCTTGTTTTTCATTTGTATATGTTCTTTAGAGAAATACCTCTTTAAGTCCTTGTCTGCTTTTTAATTAGGTTGTTTTGTCTTTTTGTTTTTGAATTTTATGTATGGTTATCTTGAATTCATTGTTACTCTCAACTGGTGGCATTTGAAGAAATAGGAAAGAAAGTGACAAGTAGCCTCCCTCCTATTAAGACTGTCAAAGCTGATCCTCCCATCACTAGTTTCTCTTCTGTTCTAGGCCATGGGCATCAATGACCTGCTGTCATTTGACTTCATGGATGCCCCACCAATGGAAACCTTGATTACAGCCATGGAACAGCTATACACCCTGGGGGCCTTGGATGATGAGGGCCTGCTCACTCGCCTGGGCCGCAGGGTAAGTAGTGGACAGACAGCTTCCTGTGTTCTTGAGAAGGCTCCCTGGCCAGTCTTCCATCTTTGGTTTTTGCAAAAGTAAGCATTGAGGTCCTGGAAAAGCTTTGAGTAGGATTCTAGTTTTTTTTTTTTTTTGGTGGTGGTGCTGGGGATTGAACCCATAGCCTTGTGCATGCAAGGCAAGCACTCTACCAACTGAGCTATATCCCCAGCCCTCTAGATATTTATTTATTTTAACCTTAATTTTTCACTGTCACTCCCCCCTTCCCCACCTAGTGATAAACCCAGGGTTCCTTTATCACCGAGCTACATCCCCTTTTTATTTTTTATTTTAAGACAGGGTCTCACTAAGTTGTCAAGGGTCTTGCTGAATTTCTTTGTGCTGGCCTTGAACTTGTGATCTTCCTTTCTCAGCCTCCCAAGTCACTGGGATTACAGGCATGTGCCACACTTCTGCTTCTACTATTACTTTAAACTTTCTTCTTTATAGAAGACGAGATTTCTATTCACAGTTAATTTTACCTCAGGATGTATTACTTAAACTAGTCTTAATTTAAAAGATGTCTGCAATATTCCTTTTTACCCCAATAGTAATTATGTTCTTGGTCACCTGCATTCCATTGGGGTTTATTTGAGGGGGGAAAAAGTGGTTTTCTGATGGAGATAAACACCCATGTCATCCTGCTTTAGGGAGGTCTCCTGTGATCTGTTACCCCCTCTGACCAGTTGACCAATGATCCTGGTCAGTCCATGTCCTCCACAGGGAAGCAGTTGTAGTTCCTTATTTTTCCTCTAGATGGCAGAATTCCCCTTGGAGCCAATGCTGTGCAAAATGCTCATCATGTCTGTGCATCTGGGGTGCAGTGAGGAAATGCTGACCATCGTGTCCATGCTGTCTGTGCAGAACGTCTTCTACAGGCCCAAGGTAAGGAGTTAAAGCCCATGTTTCATGTAGGGGTATGGTGAAGTCAGCGAAGTCAGCCTGTTGCCACTATCATGGCTGATGGGGACACTTCTGACAGGACCTTGTAGGGTTCCTAGGACTGCTGGATGCTTAGTTAATAACTATTAGATGGAAATGATCTTCTGTCCCACTCATTGGCAGGATAAGCAAGCCCTCGCAGATCAAAAGAAAGCCAAATTCCATCAGACAGAAGGGGACCACCTTACCCTGTTGGCTGTGTACAACTCCTGGAAGAACAACAAATTCTCCAACCCTTGGTGCTATGAGAACTTTATCCAGGCTCGTTCCCTGCGCCGGGCCCAGGACATTCGCAAACAGATGTTAGGCATAATGGATAGGTAAGCCAGGAATCTGGTGACTTCTCTGTTTGGGTTGAATCTCCATGAGTATCATGTCTGTTTATCTCTGAATGTATCTATAAAGTTATAAGAACCTGTACTCTTGGTCCTCAGAGAACCCTTTTCTTCCAGCATTTCCACCTTTTAAACTACTTCTCCCTAGGCAAGATGCAGCTGAGACACCCATTAGAAACTCTAAGAGGAAGACGATATATTAGTTGTTACAAAATGCTTTGTTTACAATCTTCTGGAACATTATTAGTCTAAATTTGAATTCTTGCTTAAATGAAATATCTTAGCTTTTAGTTGCCTCCATCTTGCCTGCTGCTTAGAGCTACCCTTGTAGTATACTTAGGGCAGGAAGGAAGGTCCTAGTGACTATTTGGGATCCCAACATGGGGTATTGGGTACTTTCTTTATCCACTCCTTACTCATTCTCTTGATAGACATAAACTAGATGTGGTCTCCTGTGGCAAATCCACAGTTCGAGTGCAGAAGGCCATCTGCAGTGGTTTCTTCCGTAATGCTGCCAAAAAAGACCCACAGGAGGGTTACCGGACGCTGATTGACCAGCAGGTGGTCTACATCCACCCTTCCAGTGCTCTCTTCAACAGACAGCCGGAATGGTAAGTGGGCAGGTTTTAGGGGCTCTTTCAGGCATAGAGAACTTATAAGTCTCCTGGCACTTTGGAGCTTGTATCTTTACCATCCAACTCTTTCCTTTTTTTTGTACTGGGGATTGAACTCAAGAGCACTTAACCACCAAACTACATCCCGAGCCCTTATTTATATTTTATTTTAGAGTTAGGGTGTTGATAAGTTGCTTAGGGACTCACTGCTGAGACTGGCTTTGAACTTATTATCCTCCTGTGCTTCTGGGTTTACAGATGTGCACCACCCAGCTCTTTCTTGTTCTAATTTTCCTTATATTCTAGAGCAGTAGAAGCCTCAAGTAGGTACAATATCAAGCCCTTTTGAGAGACATAAAATAGGGTAAAAGCTAGGAAGCATCTTAGAAATCATTTAGTGAGATGGTTTTTAAAAGTAGCATTTTTTAAAAATTGGACTTTTTCTTTCTTTTTCTTTAGGTACTTATTTCTTTCTTTTCTTTATTGAACCCAAGGGTGCTCTACCACCAAGCTACATCTCTAGTCCTTTTTTATTTTTTTATTTTAATACAGGTTTTGCTGAGTTGCTGAGGCTGTACTTGAGCTTTCAGATCTTCATGCCTCAGCCTCCAGAGTTGCTGGGATTACCCACATGTGCCACTGTGCCCAGCTTTAAAAATTGGACTCTTGGGGCTGAGGCTGTGGCTCAAGCAGTAGCACACTTGCCTGGCATGCGCGGGGCACTGGGTTTGATCCTCAGCACGACATAAAAATAAAAAAATAAAGATGTCGTGTCCATCGAAACCTAAAAAATAGAAAAAAAAATTGGACTCTTTTTTTTACAACGTTTTTTATTTGTTTGTTATACATGACAGTAGAATGCATTTATGCACTTTGATATATCATACATAGATGAGATATAATTTCTCATTTTTCTGAGTGTACATGTTGCAGAATTGTATTGGTCATGTAGTCATATATATACATACAGTAATGATGTCTGTTTTATTCTATTATCTTTCCTAACCCCACATCCCCTCCCCTCCCCTCTCATCACTTCCCTCTACCTAATCTAAGATAATGCTATTCTTCCCTAGTGTCCTACGCCTTATTGTGCTTTAGCATCTGCATATTACAGAAAACATTTAGCCTTTGGTTTTGTGGGACTGGCTTATTTCGCTTAGTATGGTATTCTCCAACTCCAAACATTTACTGGCAAATGCCATAATTTCACTCTTCTTTAAAGCTGAGTAATATTCCATTGAGTATATATACCACATTTTCTTTATCCATTCATCTATTGAGGGACACCTAGGTTGGTTCCATAGTCTAGGTATAAACATTGATGTGGCTGTGTCACTGGTATGCTGATTTTAAGTCCTTTGGGAATAAACCAAGGAGCGGGATAGCTGGGTCAAATGGTGATTACATTCCCAGTGTTCTGAGGAATCTCCATGCTGCTTTCCATAGTGGTTGCACCAATTTGCAATCCCACCAGCAATATATGAGTGTACCTTTTTAACCACATCCTTGCCAAAATTTATTGTTGCCTGTATCCTTGATGATTGCCATTCTGACAGGAGTGAGATAAAATCTTAAGAGTACTTTTGATTTGCATTTCTGTAATTACTAGAGATATTGAATACTTTTTCATATATTCGTTGATCAATTGTATTTCTTCTTCTATGAAGTGTCTGTTCAGTTCCTTAGCCCATTTATTGATTAGGTTATTTGGTTTTTTTGGTGTTAAGTTTTTTGAGTTCTTTATATATCCTAGAGATTAATGCTTCATCAGAAGTGCATGTGGGAAAGATTTTCTCCCAATCAGTAGGCTCTCTCCTCACGTTATTAATTTTTTCCTTTGCTGAGAAGAAGCATTCCATTTATTGATTCTTGATTTTACTTCTTGGACTTTAGGAGTCTTGTTAAAGGAAGTCAGATCCTAGGCTGATGTGGTACAGATTTGGGCCTATTTTTCCTTCTATTAGGCGCAGGGTCTCTGTCCTAGTGCCTAAATCTTTGATCCACTTCGAGTTGATTTTTGTGCAGAGTGAGAGATACAGGTTTAATTTCATTTTGCTATATGTGGGTTTCCAGTTTTGCCAGTATCATTTTTTAATAGGCTATCTTTTCTTTTTCTTTTTCTTTTTTTTTAAAGAGAGTGAGAGAGAGAGAATTTTTAATATTTATTTTTTAGTTTTCGGCAGACACAACATCTTTTGTTTGTATGTGGTGCTGAGGATCGAACCTGGGCCACACGCATGCCTGGCAAACGCGCTACCCCTTGAGCCACATACCCAGCCCTGAATAGGTTATCTTTTCTCCAGTGAATGTTTTTGGCGTCCTTGTCTAGTATGAGATAACCATATTTATGTGGGTTTATCTCTGTGTCCTCTATTCTGTATCATTGGTCTACAAGTCTGTTTTGGTGCCAATACCATGCAGTTTTTGTTGGTATAGCTCGGTAGTATAGTTTAAGGTTTGGTATTGTGATGCCTCCTGCTTCACTTTTCTTCCTAAGGATTGCTTTAGCTATTCTGGGTCTCCTATTTTTTCCAAATAAATGTCATGATTGCTTTTTCTGTTTCTATCAAGAATGTCATTGGGATTTTAATAGGAATTGCATTAAATCTATATAATGCCTTTGGTAGTATGGCCATTAAAATTGGACTCTTATTACAAAACTAATTTTAAACCACCATGCTGCCTAGTACAGTATTGCATGTCTGTAATCCTGGCAACTCAGGAACTGAGGCAGGAGGATTGCGAGTTCAAGACCAGCCTCAATAATTTAGTGAGGTCCTCAGCAACTTACAAGACCCTGTCTCAAAAAATAAAAAGTGCTAGGTATGTAGATGAGAAATAAAGCACCCTGGGTTCAATTCCCATTATAACAAACAAAAGCAGAAACGTACTATGTGGTATTGGTGTGATTCTGTGCCACCACAGTAGAAGAAAGAAGAGTTGGAGCCTTGCCTGCTTGGCCTTTCACATCCTTATGCTAGTTTATGAGGTGCCTCTTCAGGACCCTAGAATTCTGTGGAAACAGTCTGGAAAACCACCCTTCCATTTTCCAGAGCAAGAGCAGATCTAGAGAAGAGACATGAGAGGTTCTAGGTACTTAACTATTTTAGGCCAGAGCCAGAACTATAACACATTATCCTGTAATCTTACTTGTGTTTGAGGAGTACAGGCTCCTAGTATTGGGTTGTGGCTGTCATAAACAGAGTGCAGTCTTCTAAGGGGTTAGGCAGGAGAGGTAACATGACAAAATGCCAGCTCTGCTGACCAGGTTGGCTGTCGAAGGAGGCCTGATCTTAGGCTTGTGTCTTGTCTCTGTCGCCTGCAGGGTGGTGTACCATGAGTTGGTGCTGACCACGAAAGAGTACATGCGTGAGGTCACCACTATTGATCCCCGGTGGCTTGTGGAGTTTGCCCCAGCCTTCTTCAAGGTCTCTGACCCAACCAAACTAAGCAAGCAGAAGAAGCAGCAGCGTCTTGAACCGTTGTACAACCGTTATGAGGAGCCCAATGCTTGGAGAATATCCCGGGCCTTCCGGCGGCGCTGACAGGCAAGCTTGTCTATTTGCCTCTTCTATAGCAGTGGCCCAGGACTTGGACTTTCTCTTACCAATGAAAAACTGGTCCTGAATGTACAGCTGTCCTGTGACTGCATTTGCTAAACTTGACTTTCATTTCTTTCTTGGTGGTAAGATAGAAACCAGGATTTAAGTCTGGCGTTGGCTGGATCCTCTAGCCCCCATCCACTCCCAAGTCTTGGGGCCAGAGAGTCAGGGGCTTATACCCAGCATAGCACACAATGCATCATCTTCAAGAAAGGGACAACTTGTTCAGCCTTGAAATGGGAAAAGGGAATGAATGAATGTCTGATACATGCCACAGCTACAGAGGACCCTAATGCCCCAGCTGATGCTCCCTAGAAGAGGGAGCCATAATGCTCATCTACAGTGTCGACCTCACTGCCTGCCTCCTCCCCAGCTCCTGTACTCTGGCTTAACCTTCTGGAAATATTTATTTTCTTAAGGAAATAAGGTTTTCTGTGATTGTTTCTTTTAGCTGAAAGGTTAAGAAACTGGCCTGGGTTCAGGGTGAGGGAGATTTAGCATCTGTGATGTACGCGGTGGAGAATACCCTGGAATTAAAGCCCAGGGTCTCTTTCGAACCTAATGCACAACCCAGACCTCCAGCCTTGTTTTTCGGAATGGGTCCTGGCCCAGCTTTGCCAGTGGATGGCCTGGTGATTAACCACATCCATTCCACAAAGCACTTGAATCTGGCGCCTGAGTGGTTACAGATGCCACATATTGAACATAGAAGGCTCTCCTTTCCTCCCTCCCTCCCTCCCCCCACTCCCCTGCCATGCTCAAACAATGCACAGTGTGTCCCATTTCCTTTTGAAACATGCCAAGTACTGACACAACTTGTATTTTATTTTGTTTTTATTTTTTGCCCTGAGGTCCTTGATGGTCTTTAACAAAGGGATTTTATGATTATAGCCTCTCTTCCCCCATCCCAAGCAGAAAACAGATACCACCTCTCTGAGCCCAGCATCTGTGCTCAGGGCTTGTTCTTAGTGGTTTTGGGAAATGGCCACTTCCTAGAGCCCCTCACAGCAACTCAGGATGCTTTTTACCTGGAGGAGGAGCAGGCAGGTCCTGCTGGGGTAGGATGTGGGGCTTGTGGAGAAGCTTGGGTACATCCTGTATCATGGTATTGCTCCCACTGTCTCTCACAGCCCCGTATTAGTAAATTCCCGAAATAGGTCAATACGAGAACTGCAGAATTGTATGTCAAACACTGAACGAGACTATATGACGTTCTGGAATATAAAGGAATGTGTGTTGTCACTGGGCAGCAAATAAACCACTCTAAAGACACAGTTCACAGAGATTTCAAGGGAGAAGAATATAGGCCAGGGAGGGTGCTGACTGCAGATCCCTGCCCCTTCATTAAGCTGAGTGAGCACCTCCCAGTTCTGTTGGAGTGTGCTTCTTAGTGAGGCCAGGCCAGTAATCAAGGAACAGGGCATGATGTGTCACCCTGTAAGGCCTTATGGGAGAGACAGTACAGGAAACAACAGATGTAACCTAAAGGGAAGCAGGGCCCATTGTTAGTTCCCCAGTCTTAATTCTAGCCTAGATCTCCCATTCTGGAGCAACTCCTGGGCCTGGTGGCTCTGCCCATCCCAGGTGCCTACTGGCACTGACATTATTGGTGCCTAAGGAGAAGTCTGGGTTTTAAGCTGAGATTGAAAAGGGATGGTTAACAGGCCAAGGGTAAGTGATGGCAGGGCTGGTCATCCTACCTTCTGCAAGAAGGAGCCCAACTGTGTGGGTATACTTTGATCAATTCTAAACTAGAATTCTCTCCTTTGACAGTAAGGCAGGGGTCTAACCTTTTGACTGCCCATCAGAATAACCATGTTGACAGCAGAGCTGAGGCTGCTCAAAGGGTGAAGGGGACTCCTGTCTAGATTCAGAAGTAGAGCTGGCCTACTGCTCTCACAATGGGATCCTTGTTTCTCTTTCTTGAACCAGTATTTCCCAAGATTGAGTGACAGCCCAGGAGAGGATGTGGGTCTCAGGCAGAGAGTTGGATTCTTCTTGGCCATTAAAGTATACAGTTCACCCCAACTCACCAGGAGCCTAGCTCAGAGTTTCCTGGCCCTGCACATGTGCTAAGTCTCAGCTTGTGTTTGTGTATGTGGGGCTGACCTGATGGGGTGCAGGTAAGCTCTGCTGCTGGTCTGGGTTTGCTTCATCCAGTCTGGAGCACATTTTGGCTGTCCCTCCTGCAACCCAAAGAATTTCCTCCCAGTGGATGCTGTCACTATCTCATTGGAGCAGTTCTCCTCCACATTTAAGAATTTAAACAAAGCTCTGAAGCACAGCCTGTTAATGAACAGTCCAGAAGACAAAATGTCTCAGCCAGTGGAGACCTATCTCTAAAAACTGCTTCTCATCTAAATCCTCTGAAGTGCACCAGCCCTCCGGGTTTCTACCTGATTTTTAATACCTTCTTTCCACCATGATAGCCTGGCTTTAATGTGGAATTAAATGTATATTTTTAAACTGGTTTAAAAATAATTTTCTTGTTCAATACATTGATTTTTTTGTGTTTCTAGGAAAAAATGCTGCTTTTTATTTGTGGGTAATGGTTGAGAGGCATTCCTTCCTGCTAGCACTCCATTGTTGGGTTGTGCGGGCTGGAAGCTGCCAGCATAAGCAGCACAGGCATTAGTAGTGCTGGGCTGGCCCCACCTCAGCATAGCTGCAGTTCTGATTGAACAGGAGGCTCCTGGTTTTACCTCAGCCCTTTTCCTGGAAGCTCTTGATAGAGGGGCTGGCTCTAGAAACATCCATTCTACCCTGCTCCATCTCAGCTACTCCTCCTGTCATAGCTCCTTAGTCACATGCTTCTGTGTTACTTTTCTACCCACCCTCAGGACTCTTGTCTCTCCCAAATTTGGACAAGGAGAATCTGCTGTTTCCCACTGCCCAGTCCCTGGAAGATAAGTCTCCTTCACTTGCCTGCTCTAGCCTCCCCCAGAACTCACTTGCCTAGGTGCCTTTCTCCTTTGGTTCATTTTCCAGACAACACTTATCTCCAATTCTAGCAAAAATAGCAATTTGGAGCTGAGGCAGGATGTACAATTTGGGGTACATCCAGTCATGGGAGCAACTGTGATCACAGAAACTGCAGATCTGTCTTTGCCTAAGTCCCCAGAGGGAAGGCCTTGCAGCTCAGGATCCCACCTGCCCCTTCCCCAGGGGCATAAATACTGTTGCAGGAACCATGCTTCAGTGGCCAAGGGGGCCCCACCTAGATTACAAAGTATGTCTTTTTTTTTTATAAAGTATGTCTTATCAGTTGTTTCTGGGTCCTTGAATAATAATTCTGGGAGAGGAAAAAGCAGGTATTGTGAAGCCCATTTTTCAGAGGAAAGCTAAAGTCAGAAGTGAACTACTTTTTTTCCAAATCAGCATAGGAAATTAAGTGTCAGGGACAGGCCCCAAACTTCAGTTATCTGCCCCAAGTCCAGATCTTTCTCTTCCAGGTCCATGCCCAAGGCAGCAAAGAGCAAGCAGAACTAACAGTAGGGGCCTTTATTAAGGTCTGGCAGATGAGGTGGAGGTGGAATCCCAAGCCTGGGTGGGCCTAGGAAAAGGCAGAGGAGAGGCAAAGAGCCCCTAGGAACCCATCCCCCCCACCTCTGTCCAGTATCCCCATCCCAGGTTCCTGCCTACGGGAGGAGAGCACCAAGAACGGGCATCCCAAGTTCTCCAGGGCCACAGCTTAGGGCGGTGTAGAGTCTAGGCTTCTGTCTCCCCACAGTGTAAGAACTGGGGAGCTCAAGTGAACTTCCTGGCTAGCCTGCCAGGATAAAGTTGGGAAGTTCCTTCTCTGTCCCCTGAAACAGAACAATCACTTGTTCTCTGGTAGGGAAGGGAAACGGGGTTTAGGCCTCCAAGTAGGACTTAGGAAGAGGCTGACCTGAACTCCTGAGGATGGTCGTGACCCCCTTCCAGCAGGGAGCTTCTGAGATTCCACCTTTAGATTTGCCCTTTTTCTACTTTTGCTTCCCAAAGACTCTGGTGAGCAACTCTATGGGCCAGGGCAGCTGATGGGATAGCAGGGATCTGCCCCAGAGACATCTGTGGGTTTTAGAATGAGGCCTTCACCAAATTCATTGATATGTACACAGGGCAGCACCCACCCCTAATGGAGGGAGAAGTTGTTGGTGGCTAGTAAGAGTAGCCACCCTTGGGGCCAAAGGGCTGGGCAGGGCCAGCCAGCTCTGGGAGGTAGGCAGGGCTCTCATCCAAGTGGGACAAAGGGACTGTGTCCTCTTCACTGATTGGCCGGTCAAATTCAGCTTTCAGAGCTGGACGCTGATTGTCCGGGAAGGCCAGAGAGAATAGGGCCTCAGGCTCACACACAAATTTGTATACATATCGCTCACCAGCCACCTAAGGGGAGAGAGAAGCTAGGTCAGTCAGTCGAGGTATACCCAACCTCAAGATAGGACTGGGGGACAGAGCCCTTCTTCATGTCCAGGTAGAAGTGTGGGAACCTTTCCCTCCTGTGCAGATTCCCTTCAGAAGTTCACTTTCTCCTCTTACAGACTTGCTGAAAAATGCTCTCCTTGCCCCTTTGCTGTCACCTCCCCACAGTCACTGCCCCTACCCCTTGTCTTTGGACTCTCTGCCCTCTTCCCCACCTTCTGCATGATGCCTTTCTCATAATAGTATCGCAGTGAGCGGCTCAGCTTGTCGTAATTCATGGCTGGCCGGTTCTTCTGGATGCCCCAGAGCCTGGCGACCTGAGGACAAAAGAGACAAGTTTTAGGGTGGAGATGCTATCTCAGAGAAAAAGTGGGGGTGTGGGGTGTCAGAGCACTTGAGATAATTTTCTTTTTGTGTGTGTGGTACTAGGAGTTGAATCCAGAGTCAATCTACCTTCAAGATATACTCCTTTTTTTTTTAATATAATTTTGGTTGTTGATAGACCTTTATTTTATTTATTTATATATGTGGTGCTGAGAATCGAACCCAGTGCCTCACACATGCCAGGCAAGTGTGCTACCGCTGAGCCACAGCCCCAACCCTACTCCTGACTTATTTATTTTTTGAAACAGGGTCTTGCTTATTTGCCCAGGCTGGCCCCAGACTTGTGATTTCTCCTGCCTCAACCTCCTGAGTTGATGGGATTACAGGTGTGTGCTATTGTGCCAGGCAAAACTTGATATTCTTGGTGCCAAATGTTAAGCCAGCCATACAACTAGTACCAGCTCACGAACTCAGGTTATGTAGAACGAGGGTAATAGTGAAGGCACATGCCACTATTCTCTTATCTCCAGGCTCCAAAGACATTGGCAAGGAGGGGTGGAGACACTCTGATATACCCACCTCCTCAGGTTCAATTAGTTTGAACTCCATCCCCCGGCCTGTCCAGGCAATGAAATGGGCATTCGTTGGGTCATCCAGTAGGGCCACCAGAAACTGCCATAGCTGCAAGGCACCCCGGCGCTGGTAGGGTGGCCCCTCTCGGAATGCCCCAACTCCTTCCTGCTTGATGTCTCCTGGAGAATGCAGAAATAGGAGGTATGGGGGCTTTGTGTCTTCTGGTGCCCCAGCCAACTTCTTCCCTTCTCCCAGGGTATCTCCTCAAGGGGCCTCTCCAGACCCTTTCCCATTTGTCACCCAGCTTGCATCGATGAAATGTAATGTGATTTCTTCAGGGACACAGCCAGTAGGGGATGTAGATAAGACCCTGACCCTCCCAAGAAATCACTCTGACCTTCATATTTCTCAGGGACAACGCAGACATCATCTGGGAATGGTCGCAGAGGTTTCTCATAGCCATAGCCTTGTGGAGGAAGTTGGGAGTTGCTGAGATCTAACAGTTTACTGATAATCCACAGGGACTCCTGGCTAAGGAGAGCTTCCCCCCAACAAAGCCCCCTCCCCCAACTTGAGGGCTTGACAGGGGAAGGAGGGGGCTGCCTTACCCATGGCCCCATCACCTGGGGAGGCCCCGGAGAAGCCCTCTGTGTGGAGGTACATTGATGCACACCCAGGGACATCTGTGAGGGGTGGAGAAAGGGTGATGTTACAGGTGGCTGGGATGCAGCTGGCGGGAGAGGGGAGGAGGAAGTCCTACACACTTTCAAGTTCTTCCTGCCAGCCTGCTTTCCGGTGACTGTTCCTTTCCCAGTTGCCTGCCCACCACCAAATCCCAGGGGAAGTTCACCCAGAGGGAGCACGAGGCTTGAGCCCCTCAGCTTGAGGGCTGGGGCAGAGGGCATAGATGGCAGCAGCTGGGGCTGGGCAAGCTGTTCCACAAGGCCCAAGATTCCAGGGAGCAGCTGTTTCCTGTGAGTTCAGGGGGAGGAGGGGAGTGAGAGATGAACCTCCGGGGGAGAAAGGGTTCGGTGTCCACGCCTAAGATTCCCTCGGAACCGGCAAACGTCCGGTCAACAGGTCAGGTTCTCAGCCCTGTGCCTGTGTGCGTGAGAGCCAGAGCGTGTGTGCATCTGGGGAAGCAGCGGTGGGCACTGGGCTGCTATTTCAGGTTAACAGCTCTTTGCACTCAATTCCCTTCCTTAGCATTGAAACCCCCCCACTCCACCTCGGGAACCCGCTGTGTAAAGCCACCCTTTCCAGTTCCAACCCCTTCCCGCCCTCCCCCTCCACTCCCACCTATGAATGAGAGGCTGAAACCCGACACCTCCGGGAGGAGGCGGGAGGGCGGCTTCATTCAAGCCTCCATTTTGTGAATGGAATTCCTGACTCCATTCAGGGAAGCTGACGGGGGAGGGGCGGGAGTTCAAGGGCATGTAACACGATCCCCCCGGTCTACAGCCTTTGAAGGTCAGCCGCAAGAGCATCTCCCTCCTCCTCCTCCCACTACCTCACAGCCAGGCCTGGCTGTGCCCTGTGTTTGAGGACGAGAGCACCCATCCGGTTCTCAGTCGGGCAGCTGCGGGGTTTGTGGTTCACCTCCCTGCCCCTGAAAGACTGGGTACCAGGAAAAGGGAAGTTCTAAAGCTCTTAGCTAACTCTGCGCCTACCCTAATCTCTGGACTTCTTTTTCTAATGCAAAATTGCTGATAGACTTCAATTTAGTACAGAAACCAGGAGGAAAGAAGAGACGACAGTTTTCTGTGTTCTTCTTGAGAATGGTCTTCCCTCTGTAGTTGAGGCTTTGAACTATAGCTATTTATGAACATAGCTGAGTACATCTCACTCCTGTCAACAGCGAGGTGGAACTAGAATTTAAAGCAGTCCCTATTTCAGGTACCCAGCTTTTGGGGGGTGGGGTGGGATGTGGAAACCATATATTAGCCCTGCATTCCTATGGGAAACTAAGAGCCTAACTAGTTTCTAGTTCATGTTTCAAATCACTTTGTATTTTTAAACTTCTGCTGGAGACAGGGACCAGTGGTGACACAGTCTATTCAACTTTGTATCCTCAACTCTGTACACTCATGTTCCAGGTACAGTATTTTACTTTTTAAGTAGATTACTAAAACTCAAATAGAAATAAATACCTTAACTCTCCTATTGTTATAAGCTACCTGAGG